ATTGGGACGAGAGGATATCAATCCCAACCCTGAAGACACCGAACATGGTCGGACGCCACTATGGTGGGCTGCGGTGCGGGGGCATGAGGTGTTAGTAAAGCTACTATTGGAGCGAGATGATATCAATCCCAACCTTGCAGACACCGACTATTGCCGAACACCACTCTGGTTGGCTGCGGAGGGCATGCATTACGGAATAGTTCAGTTGCTGCTCGCACGAGACGACATTAGTCCTAACGTTATGGACACCGAATATAGGCGAACACCACTCTGGTTCGCTGCAGGGAGCGGGCACGAGGCAGTAGTAAAGCTGCTGCTGAAGCGGGAGGGTATCAATCCCAATACCGCAGACACCGAATATGGTCAAACACCACTCGGGCTGGCTGCCGAGCATGGGAGCGAGGGAATAGTAAAATTGCTATTGGGGCTAGAGGATATCAATCCCAACACTGCGAACACCGAAAATGGTCGAACACCACTCTGGTGTGCTGTGGACCACGGGAATGAGGGAATAGTAAAGTTGCTATTGGAACGAGACGACGTCAATCCCAACACTGCGAACACCGAAAATGGTCAAACACCACTCTGGTGTGCTGTGGAGCACCGGTATGATGGAATAGTAAAGCTGCTATTGGAACGAGCCGATATCAATCCTGACACTGCAAACACCAAAAATGGACAAACACCACTTTGGTATGCTACGGAGCACGGGCATGATGGAACAGTAAATTTGCTATTGGAACGAGACGATATCAACCCCAACACTACATACTCTAAATACGATCAAACACCGCTCTGGTGTGCCGTAAAGGGCAGGCGTGAGGGAATAGTAAAGCTATTACTAGGACGAGACGACATCAATCCCAACACAGCAGAAACCGAGTATGGCCGAACAACGCTCGCGCTTGCTGCTGAGCGCGGGTACGCGCCACTAGTACAATTGCTATTGGAGAGAGAGGATATCAATCCCAACACTACAGATACCAAATACGGCCTAACCCCACTCGGATGGGCCGCGGAGCGCGGGCACGAGCGAGTAGTAAAGTTGCTTCTAGAACAAGGAGGTGTCAATCCCAACGCTACAGACACCAAATATGGTCTAAGGCCACTCGCCTGGGCTGCAGATCGCGGACACGAAGGTGTAGTGAAATTGTTGTTGGAGCGACAGGATATCAATCCCAACACGGCAGATACCACCTATGGGCGAACGCCACTCTCGTGGGCTGCGGAGGGCGGGCATGAGGCTGTAGTAAAGTTGCTATCAAGACGAGACGATCTCAATCCCGACACCCCAGATCTCAGCGGCAATACAGCCGTTGAATTAGCTGCGTCCCGCGGACACACAAGAATTGTGGAGTTACTCTCCGAACCTAAACCCCCCCTTCATGCCCCCCGAACTCTCGGCGATGCCCTCGAGCACCCCCAATCTGGGTCATCTGACTCACTTCAAAAGCCTCCTCAGCCTACTCCGCCATCATCTCATTCGGCGTTGAACCGGCATTCCCCCGATACCCAACCCCTCTTTGGAATATCGATTCCTTCTTTTACGATTATTTCCTCCTTTATCCTCCTATGTTTCCTCATTGCTATCAGTCCCTCATTTACAACCCTCTCATCTCACACATGAATGCTATGTTCCATATGCTGAGCCGGCGGGCACAGCCTTCGCGGACCCTAGTTAGATATATTTACTTGAGTTCCTAAACGGGGATGGGGGGAGCTAGTTCAGCGAGTTCTATGGCGCGTAATCAATACCTTCCATTTTTGATTCTCTCCTCTTTCTTTCCTTATCTTTGACTTCCGCCGGTGGCGCACCGTCCATCCCCCTCCATTTGACGATCCATTTCTCTGTTTCCCTTAGATTATCATCTAGAATATTGTACAGTGTCATAGGAATGTATCATATCTCCCCCTCCAAGTTTCTCAGTAGCCTGCCTTTTCTAGACGCACGAAGCGCATGATACCAAAGACGACGCCATTCCGGCAATATTATTTTTATGAAGCACCTCGATAGAACTTTCAGACACCTCACCCACTTTCAGTCAATAACTCCTACTGCAAACGGGGCTACAGAAGCACCCGCACTCATTCCCATATATCGAGTATCCGCATGCGTGACGAGCCACTCCAGCGCATGTGCGCTTCGAGGGGGTTCTCTTCCAACACCTCCCCGCACCCTCCCTTTCCAGATTAAGCCAGTCCCCGGCAATAGCCATGCTCACCGGAAGTCCGTTCAAACAATTCCCCCGGACCTCCAAAGCAAAGGAAAGCTTCACAGAATGAACGGATAACCGCAATGCAGCACTACCGCAATGGCAGATAACTAAGTCTAATCACCGGCTTTAGAGAAGGTGAGCCAGTTATCGACTTGCCCTGCTCCCCCGGATATTTTAGATATCGTATATCGTTTATATCGTATAGAACGGGCGGCACTAGTATTCCGCTAGGGAGAGACTCACGTTATGTCGCGCGTGACTTACTACACATACACTATACCTTTTTCCCTTTTGTCCTTATCCCCCCGATTGGGGATCTCCGCTTCCAAAAAAAGCGGAGACTCACAACTTTTCTCTCTCCTTGTGTCTCGTAGCCTGTGGAGCCGTGGTGGTGTTTGGGAGTATCATAACTTGGGCCCCCACCCCCGCCAGCACAGCGCCATGATGCATATCCTATCCCCGGATATAATACCCAACTCCCGCTATCCGCCGCTGCGAAGTCATTGCACGCATTCATTTCCTCCTTGATATTACACTCACGATTCCCACTTACCGCTTCATGCATCGCGCCACGGATCTAACTTTGCCTTCAATAAACATCAGGTGGGGGTACTCAGGATAAGGGAAGGGCCCTATATCACAACAGGTGTGAAAATCGCGTGCAGATGCCAATTTTTTAGTCCCAGCTACGGTTATGGATACTTGTGGCGTGTCATCGGTGGTTAGCTAAAAATTCGTTTATTGCAGGGTTAATCCAGCAACCGCAGCACGGAGAGTTGAAGCGTTGGAATAGCCAGCTGAGCGCACAGATCGGATGAAGACTAACGAATACCGGTATACATATCACAGTGCCATGAAATGTAGATAGTACGGCAGCCGATGACGGTGAGATCAGGTCGTCTGTCAGGGCTTCTGTTCCTTCTATCGTGTTTTTATGAGATTTTAATAATTATGGGCGGTTCCGTGCTGTGCTGTGCTGCACCGATAAAGACGATCTGTAGGTGTTGGATTCATTTTTGGGGGCCGGTTTCGGTTGTGCACTAGCGGCTAGCTTGGCGGGCTAACCGGATATGCGTACCGGTATATCATAAGTGAGTCGTTGAACTGGCCTTGCGCACTTGGCTGTCGCGGCGAAACTTCCATCTGAGTAAGTATCGGAGTCGCTATCGTCGCATTACTCTATGGGTATTCAATGTGATGTTTAAATTAGCTAGAAAGTTTTTTCTTCCGCACTACTAGTCTACCGTAGAATGCGTTCTAGTCTATCAATTAGCCCCACGCTGCCCGCCCCCCTCTCAGCTGCCCCATGCAAACTATTAGAGCACATGGCAGATCGAAGCACAGCTGCACTACACTTGCACTGTACGAGTACTGATAAAATGATGCTGCGGTCCTATTTTCCGTTTTTAAGATTGAGTTCCCATATTTGTGATATCCGATATGTTCCATACCGGTCGTCAAGTAGCCTATTCGGCCAACGGGGTATCCCTTTGACCACACGGATCCTTTGCCAGTGGGGTTTCAGGGTGAGAAAGGAGACTCCAACCCATCCCAACCACAAAGTAGTGGGAAAAGATTATGAGTGAGTGAGAGGGTATGAAGCGGAAAATGATTTGGGAAATACCAGGGGGGATTGGGATCTTGTATACTCGAGTAGACAAAGCCATACAGCTCTAGGCCCCCTTCTCCGTGTGCTCAGAGAGGGTAGGGAAGGAGGCTTTTGAGACGGCGCGCCCCAGGCCTCCGGTTGCCCGCGGTCCGAGTGAATTCCGGGTTTGTGATTGCGAGGTCTTTGTGCACTGAAAGTGCCTGTTCCATCCTGTTTGCTAGATCTTGCTTGTGGGGAGGGGAGGTTTGAGATGGTGCGCGTGGAGCGCTCGCTCCCGCCGCCTCTGCAGAGCGGCAGAGCCCAATATAGATCCGGTTGATTGCCTTTACTGGCGGTGACGAAGCGCTCGTTCGCTATGGAAACATTGGGTGAGAGGATAGTGTGTTCGTCCATCCCTAGGATTAACTGGTGGTGAATGACCACCTCCTTTGGCTATACCCACCGACATACTCCAACCAGCGGTAACCATTAGTGAGTGCACCTTATAACCTCATCTAGAAGACAAGAGCCCACACAATACCATCCTCTCAGTACTAGCATCATATGCCCAAACCCCTTCAAAAAAGCGTGGATGTTCCTCCCCACCACTTCCGCGCCTGCTTCGAACGTATGACGCGTATGCCCGCTGCCAGGATATCCCCCGATAAACTTCACCCCATCCACCAAGAGCATTCGCACACCGAAGGACCCCCTAATAGAGGGCTTTCTACTAGGGTCGAGTCTGGCGGTCTTGACAACCAGGTGTAACTTACTCGTACCTCAAGATTCCCCGTAAAGTTGACGCTAGTCGGGGTGCCCGGCCTGTTTTTTTTGGGCGGGTAAGTTGGGATGATGTAAAAAGTCACGTGGGTCCACGTGCCATCCGTGGAATTCTTGGCGGGGTGATAACATCCCGATGGACAGTGAGGACACGGTCGATGAGTGGCATCCGTCGCGATCCCTTTCACCGAACCAGCGTGACTTGCCCGGAGAGAAAGGGAAAACTGAGCTCACTGAACACCGGAATTGCTCGTATTCCATCCCCCAACATCCCTCGCACACTCCACCTCGTTGTGCAATTGCCTAGCATAGCAAACAGCTGCTATTGGTTTTGGTTTCGAAAATGAGCCTGGAGTAACCGCGCAGTCTAGCACTCTCCACCTCCCCTCCCCCGGCTGTCATGATCCACCGGTTGGACGTTGCCTTTCCTCATTCCCGCACCCGGTTGGATCCTCTTGCAACTCCTGGTGTCGGTGTTGGGGCGCTCGCTGCCGAAGTCGATTTCTGGCTGTCAGGGGGGTGCCGGTGTCATTTAGGGTTGTTTGCACTGCATTAAAGGTACTAATGGGATCTGAAAAAGCTATACTGAGGTGGCAGGTGTTGAAGGCGAAAGAAACTGCGGGATTTATCAGTAGCACGATCGCGATCGTACCATGAGGTGACTTTGGAGGTGAGCTCGGGAATGTTACTAGGGGGGTAGTATTAATAGCTTTAGTGTTGATTGACACCTGTCAACTTGCTCACTTTTCCCAGGTACGGTAGTTGACCATCCGCTGCATCATACAAGCGAGTCCCATTTCACGATTCGTTCCGGTAATTGGTCAGCACCCGCTGCACTAGTACTACAACTAATGGATGGACTAGGGAATCGGAATATGTCATGCCCTCCCCATCGCCAGCACTACGGAGACATAGCCGACGTCAAACCATCGGAAGAAACATCATGTGGCTCCATCCCCCATCAACGAGTGACCGGGCCGCCGCACCAAGTCTTGAGGATTATATTCAGCCACCCACTCACGTACGCACCCGCCGGCTGGGGATCGGAACGAACCGAGGGTACTCCACGCACAATCTACCACATCTATGCAATCTCTGTATCTGCGCTAGTTGCATCACTTGGCCATATAGGTTAATGTGTGCTGGTGCTGTACGGTACCGCATAAATCACTCTCGGGTATTTACTATTTCGATTGGTAGGGGGACTTGCGGGGGAATAACTGGTCACTTGCGCGTGCCATCCTTGGCGTTGCACAGAGACGGGCTATACTGTATATACAAGTGATTGCTAATGATTGAAAAGCATTCTAGGAAAAGTCTACTTTCTGGCAAATACTCTAGAGTGCTTGTGTTGGTGCGGTTGGTACTGCACGGGACACCAGTGCCCGCAGAAACCTCGCGATAATCCGTGTGACGATGGCAAGTCCATAGCCGACTTGCCGGGTGAGGTGAAATGTTTGAGATTAAATTTGCCATCGTAGTCCGAGCCTCGAAGCTCCCGGCGGAATATTGTACTATGAAAATATAGGTACCACACTCCGCTTTTAGATCGGTAAGCCGATTTTTGGCTCAGCCGGAAGTGTACTGTGCTCTGGGATGGAACCGCCACCACAAGATGGGGAGGTCTGGTGGAATTGTGTAGCTGTTGTTTCAATATCGGGGGGTTACTGGGTAGTGGATCTTGTTGGATTGCCTATAGGCCATGGGTTAGGCGGATATGTGGTTAGGCGGATATGCGGTTATCGGGCATATGTTTTGTGGTGCGCAGTGCAGAGGCAGAGGGCAGTTTTTTGTTTCTTTCACATCCTATGCCGGTTGGCATAGGATATGGGTCATTTTTGGTGGTTTTGTGTTGTTTCTTTCACACCCTATGCCATTCAGCATATGGTAGTTTGGTTTAGGATTTTTCTAGATTCCTGGAGGTTGCGGAGGATCATGACTGGTTAGGATGGTGTGTTTCTTTTGAGTTCGTTGTTTTTTCCATGGTTGTTTGTGCTTTGGAGATATTTATCTCTTAGTCAGTCCTTAGCCAGATCGACCATCGACCACCATTTCCACTACTTCTGTTCTCTCATTCCACCTCTCATCCGCACTCATTTTGTCACTTCACCGCTGTGCACTTTAGAGCTGCTTCTTCAGTTCTAGCCTTCGGGAGAGTCGTGTTTTTTGTTTTTTCTTTCGTTGCTTGGAGGTCAAATCGCACAACCCTAGTTAGGCGATGGGAGATCTTTGGCCGGACAATAACAAGCGTTAAACAGTGTCATCCGGCCCAGTTTAGGAGTATTATGCGAAGATACGAGAAATTGCGGTACAGATACTTATTGGATAGAACATCCTATGGCACTCGGGAGTTTGCAGGGAAGGTCTAGCATACATTACCGTATATAAAATTCATCGCAGTGCTTCGGAGAGGTCGCAGGGGTGCAGTAGAGAGGTTGTTGTAATAATATCATACAAGCAGCAATCTACTGTGGCACCTCCGCAATTGTGAACTGTGGCTAAGTCTTGGCTGATCGATGGGTGGTATCTCTGATAGGAATTGGCAACGGTGAACGCGCTGGTATTCTCCCACTATCGTTAGCAATAGAACCGCCTCCTCCACTCTTTTCAGCTACCGGCACCCGAGTTTCGCTACCACAGGGATCTCCGCTACGATCTTCGTGAGGCCAACACCGCCAATACTAACAATATCGCTAACCTGAACAATGCCAAAGCCGATGGGAACCCACAATTTATGAAGCAACTATCGCTACTGGACGCCACGAGAAGACGTCAAAATGTCCGACCAATAGTCTCGATGGAGTGGGAAATTGGGTTTTGGAAACAAACAAGCTTCGAGAGTGGAGGATTGGTGAAGGGGGCGCAGAGAAGGCTGTCTTATTCTGCTACGGGAACCCCTACTTGGTCAATAGGATATCTCGTTGGCCATACGGTGGTAAAGTGAATTCCAACCCATCCTAGCGAGAGGCAAAAGGAGATGGTGTAAGTGTTGAGTTTAGTGCTTATCCGTCAAACAGACTAGTTTCCTTTTTGGTTAGTTTCTCCTAGTACTTTCCTCACCACTCTCTTCAACGTTAGTTACTATTTGAGTTTTTCTTCATCTCTTCTCTATTCGTTTCACAACCGCACAACCATGCCATATTCAACTATGGTATTCCGAGGTTCTCATGTTTTTCTTCCTCACCGAGGTTTCGTCAAATTCTTTCCTCCGAGGTTCTCGTGTTACCAACCTCGGGTTTTTATTTCTTTTCTTTCACTTGATAGTTCAGTTAGCATAAAAGCCCACTGCTGCGCAGGTGGTAAGAAAATCAAGCTTCTTTTCTCGTTCGCAGTCATATCAATTCACAGTAAGAACGAGTGATAGTGTATGACGAAGAAAATACTTCCAAGGGTAAGGGGGGTTGGGGTTAGGTATGGAGGGGAATATAAGCTGTATATCCCGTCACTCATGTGCGCCATGAAGTGGAAGAAGTGGGCTTTGCGGGCTTCCTAGGAGTCCACGAGTTTCGGCTCTTGGGTTGCCGGCGATTACGTGTCTCCAGCGATGGCGGTCGGGATGAAGCGGAAATTATTATTGGAGTCTTTCTGCGCTTTCCCAGTTATTGGGTGTACGGTGTCGAAGATACCTATTCCACCCTGATTCTTAGATGTTACTGGCTGCTCTCCTGTAAGCGGGTGAGTGTGGAGCGCTTGCCTCCATCTTATCCTCAGATGGACCATAATGGATCGGGGGGGTTATCTTGGCTAGCGGACGTTCGCCATAATTGCATTAAGCGAGAGGGCTGCCGGTATCTGCCCATTCCTAGGGGACAACCTAGCGGTGGGTGAACCCCCCTCGGATATACCTACGGGATATCCGACCGTCTTCAACCGTCCATGCGTGTACATACCTCCTAACCTATCCCAAAGGCGTAAGGCTACACACCACCACCTCTGAACGAGAAATTAAAGGCATGGTGCCCTTTGTGGTACCGCGGATATCCTCCCCCTGCATTCCGGAGCCCACCTTGAACGCGGAAATCGCCCACCCGCTCCCGACATCTTCTATAACGTCATCCTGTTTAGCAAATTCGTTCGCACAATCAACCACTCCCTCTCAGAATACATTCCGCAAAAGTGGTGTCCTGTGTTCCTGGCCCCCAGAAGTACTTTTTCATTCCTAATAATCTTGACGCTAGCCTGAACGGCGGTCTTTGTGCTGACGACGTAGATCGGATGGATCCCCTGGTTTTAGGCACCCTCCGTAGGATTTGTAGCGGGGAGACAAGATATACTTGCGAATGGTAGGACGTAATTCGCGGATATGCCGCAGGTATCAGAAAAGGTGGGAATGATATTCGCTGACACATTGAGGTAACCCGAGGCAACTCCCATTGTTCACTTGTCAACGGAGCATCACCATTTTAATTTTGAAAACTCCTACCGGAACTGGTGCGGTTGGTGCTGGACCATGTACTAACGCCCCCAGTGCCCTCGCGATAAGACGTGGATGCGTTGATGGGAAATTTATAGCCGATTTGTTGGTTTTGGGGAAGTGTTCGAGATGCTAGAGGATCGTGTTCCTGGCTCCACAGAGTTGGCGCTATTGAAGACTTGAGCTGAGTGAAAAAGAACACGAACAAGATAGTGAAGGCCCGGTGGAAATGTGTAGAGGGATTTTAGTGTGGTCATTAAATAATGGTTTTGACGGTTGAAAGGGTCTTTTTTCCTTTTTTACCCCCGGCTTTTGGGTGTTAGGGACGTGGGATCACCGAATGGGTATCGGTATTAGTGGGGCTGTGGATTTGGGAGTACGGTAGGT